GATACCCTACTCTTTAAGATAATCATCCCTGTGAAGTTGTGAAAAAACTTTCTTTTTCCACTGATTTAAACATTAAGCACATATTTGATACTAGGAAAAACGTAAATGTCACACAAAATAAATTGCTTCCAACAGTGGAAGACCTATTTTGGTTTACAGTTCAGGTTTATCAAGACAGTTACTTTATGACACTCAGCAAAGCTATATCAAACTTTTTTTGATGACAATACGCTGAATAGATGGAACTGGCCAGGACAGTCGCCAGATCTTAATACAATACGATGCAAAAACTGTGCATTAATAACTCCTCGAATATGAATACAGTGAATAGACGGAACTAGCCAGGACAGTCGTCGAATCTTAATACATTACGATGTAAAAACTGTGCTGTAATATCTCTTTGAATACGAATACAGTGAATAGAACGAAATGGCCATGACAGTCACCAAATTTAATACAACACAATGTAAAAACTGTGCTGTAGTTTCTCCTCGAATATGAATACAGTGAATAGACGGAACTAGCCAGGATCTTAATATAATACAATGTATGTGTTGTGGAATATCCTCGAATATGATGTAGAACAACCCAAAATATTGCATGAAGGAACAATTTATACCGGATTCGCATTCAATCGAGCTTTCATATGCGGTATTTAAAGGGTGTAATTTAAATCAAAATGCTTGCTATTGAATAATCTTTCGCCAAACTGTCACGCTTTTACATCATACGAGAATTACTTTTACTTCCGAAAGCACCAATGTTGGCGTGCTTTGAATATCAGAAATTCAAGAAACGCCAAGTTGAGTATTGCAAGTTTGCATGCGATCTGAAATGAGCTAGCTATAGTTTGCTTTTGCTTTAAAAGGCCGACGTTCATCAGTTGGAACGAAAATTCTCCGTTAAAAATTTGTGTTTTGAGTTGCGTAATAAGGATTAACATATATTTTAATTTTTAAATCTCTGAGAACTGTATTGAATGCATTGCATATGAAATGTTTAATTCCTATCTGCTTCCACTCTGTCACGCCTAGTTCAAATTCGTCGTAATATTCTCTCTGTGCTACGTGAATATGCTTGATTTAAAAACTAATTTTATTTTAAGACTTAGCGTATACATGCATTCTAAAGGGACGATTATGCTTTATTGTAAAAATAACTTTACCGACTCAGATTTTCTTTATCTTATTCTACTATAATATAAATCTTAGCACAACTGAATAACAAAAATGGTGGAGACAACTACTTTACTCCAGTGTGGATAGTGAAACGCCATACGTAACTCTTGAATTTATTGTTTCTCTACACTCATGTTCTTTTTCAAAGCAATGGAACAAAAATATTAACTTTCAAGCAATGTTTCAAATATGAAACTTTCAGACATACAAGAGTTAATTGAAGCTATGTTTTTTTGTCTGCAACCAAGTTGTCTAAAAAGGAATTGCTTTTGAATTTGAGGTTTTCTATGCCAGAAATATTTCGAGTCTATGATAAAGCGAAGTGATGGCCCATGGACAAAAATATTGAACAATGATATAAACAAGCAGTTTTTAAAAAAAAATGCATTGTATTAGTAAATTGTTGTGTTATTCTTACTACGTATACCTTTAAATAAATATTGAATGAATGACTTTGTACTGCTACGTACACAAACAGTGGTACCCATCAATCTGAAGCTATGTGGGCCTCAAGTCCTTAACGGAGATATAAACCCAGGACTTTACAGCGGCAATTCAGAGCCTTAGCCACTGATTATCGACTCTATAACTTAACTGAAACTATTTAGTAGAAGGCAGCATAAAAGACAGATAAACTTATTAATCATCGGTATTTGATGTATAGTCCTTAAAGAAATTCATGATTTTGATTAAAGCAGTGAAGAGTGCAATTATAAAATGGTATAAGATTTCTTTATACTTTTGCTGATGAATATTAATACAATTGATACGTCTCTTAAGTCTCTTAAAAATGAAAGAAAAAAATTTCGTTGAGTGATTTAGTATTTCTCGTTTTTTTACATGAAATGAAAAGTTTGTAAAATAATTCATGGGATACGCGTACATAAATTGCATTTTTCACACTGCATTTGTAGACACGGCGTTTTTTGCAGTGAATAAATTAAATTTGAACCATAGCCATGACCCCTTAAGTTCTTATGCATCCATAGATATACTTTCATTAAAATAAGGTACGTCATTGTATATTTTCTTGTACTTTTTCCACGTTAACCAACATGTCTACTTGTTTTACGATTTCTATTAAGTATTTAACATCTTGGGATGTCATAAGACCATATTGATACATAGACTCAATAAACAATATTTTTGTCAGAAATTATCTTAAACCAAAACTTAAGATTGATTTAATTAAGATTGATTTAAAACTTGATTTAATTTGAATTAAATTTCGTACTAAAATTGGAATTAAATTATTTTATAGAAATATTTCATAATACAATGAATTAAAATTAATAACAACACAAATTAATAAAACATTACTCAATGTTTACTATTTTTATTGTGTTGTTGCCTTTATTTTAACTAAACTAAAGATAACTTTAATAATAAACAAAAATGCAAAAGTATAGAAAATTTCAATATTTTAGTTTTAATAGAGGAAAGAATTTATCTTTACATGCAAAAATTACGCTGAGTAAAAATCATGATTTTTTTTTCTCTCTGGCATGAGAATCTTTCACAGATTTTAGATATTTCGTTTCGCTGACTTCAAATCTGCAATCGGTTTCTCCGTCCAAGCTGCAGAGTTTCTTTTCGTGTTGACAGTTTTAAACTATTTTTTGTCGAAATGTAAAAATTTAATAGATTTATATAACAAGAAGTTGCGTAAATGCTGCAACAAACTTCCGAAGGAATTAAAGCAGAAAAATCGAACCCGTAAATCTCTTCATACGCCGCTAGGGGACCTTCCTCAAATATGAACTGTTCCTTCTTATGCTTTTAAGCTGCTCTTAAAAAGGAAGCATGCCTAGTCGTGAATGACGTCACTTCCAGACATGGATTCCTAAGCAATTTTAATCCTGCTGATGTTCCCTAATTCTTCAAGAAGTTTGTCGCAACATTTACGTAATCTCCTTTTATATACACCGAAGAGCCATTACAATATGACCACTCTGCTAATGACATCTAGGACCACCTTTAGCCCTCAAAACTGCTAGCACCCGCCGTGGCATTGATTCCACAAGGTGCTGATGTATAGTCTGAGGTATCTGTTACCAAGATCTCACCAACTGGTCCTGCAATTCCCTCACATTGCGAGGGGGTAGCGCAGCAACACGAATTTGGTTTTCCAAGTAGGACCACAAATGCTCTATTGGATTAAGGTCAGGTGAATTGGGGGGCCAAGGCATGACTTGAAAGTCACTGGCATGTTCCTCAACGATTCGACCCTTATGACATGGTGCATTATTTTGTTGGTAAACACCATCCCCCGCTGGAAAAACTGCTGCCATGAATGGGTGAACCTCAACTATGTTCAAGTAGCTAACAGACGGCAGGGTTGTTCTATGAGGATTATTTGTCGTAATGTGGCCCATGAAAACATTGTTCCTGGGCGAGAAACCATGAAAACTGGGTGAGTCCATTGTTATAGATGGAGGGTGGTCATAATGTAATGGCTGTTCGGTGTATAACGCTTTTAAACTTGTGCATTTCGACAAAAAATGTCATTCAAAAAATATGTCGCATTTGGTACAAAACTGATTTCAGATTTGAAATCGCCCCCACTCGGAATTTCAAGATCAAGTATTTGTATAAATTCAACAAAAAGTTTGTTTCCCAGTGTTATTGATTCTGGTTTTACTTTTTAATGTTAGAGACGTTTTTGCTAACAATGTTAAGACGTACTGACATTTTGTACTAGATTTATTACAAGGTTTCATCGCTATTTTTTAATTTCTCCACAGATTAAACTGTTTTCATTTATTTATGTGTGAATATGAATGAAGTCTACGATTCATAAACGGTTCTTATTAAATTAGAACTACTGATAAATTGTTCCATTACAAAAAAAGTCAATCTTATAATTTCTTTAGAAATTATCGAAATCACATACTTATTCCATTGAAATAAGTTAATTTTCTTAATTTATGAAATTAGCTTTGAGGAATTATGAAAGTCATGAAATTTACTTCTACAGTATATATTTTTTTAGGATTTGCATTCTTAGAATTTTCTCGAAAAAAATTGTTAACTAACAATATATTCAATTGTTATTCTACTGTATTCAAACGAAACAGTCAAATAAACATGCTTAAGTTGGTATTCAAGCTGTCAACAGTGAGAGAAACCGCTTATCAATACTGCTAAACAACCGCTTCACATAATACTGTTATACAACCAGAATTTTATCGCACACCAGCTACGCTCACCTAATGAAGCCGTTTCGTGCAGCTGAGGGATAATCAAGAGGGCTAATTTATGAATTTCATGACAAACAGAACGGGGGTTCGAGTCCTAGCGCTGACACCAAAATATGTTCTCCATTCCCTTCCACACATGAAGAGTTTTCATTGTCCTGCACTTTCCAAATTCAGAGCCGGGACTGCTAGAATATGATTCTCTCATTCACTCATAGATGGCAGCACCACAAAGCTGCTTAAAACAAAAAAGTGTAGTATTTCCGATCTCTTACGATAGGTGAAACAACCAGATAAACTAATTGAACCACATTCCATGGTCCTTATGAAAAAGCACAACTCAACCGCAACCCAACCCCAATACCTATTTTCTAACAAAAAGCCTAACTCCAATGCTCAGCTAAATTTCTTTTTTTTACGGTTTTGAAACCCTGATTGTAATAGATGGTAAAAAAAGTATTATTTTGTATTTTTCTTTATCCATATTAGTCGTAAACGGTTACAAAACCGTAAAGGTAAAAATGTTCTTTTCGTTGAAAGACTGCTGCCGGCTACTTCACTGTAATTTTATAATGAAAATTCTTACACAGTGTGTTGATTATGGATGTATGAACAGACTTGAACATTGATTTGTGAATGATTTTATTCAATTATATTTGATGCCATGAAAAACGGAGCTAAAATGTGACACTCTTGACTACGAGAACCTCGTAACTGTCGTGTGGGTGCTCTCCGCCTGCGTACGAAACGTACAGTACTCCATGACTGGGATGAACTTTGCCACTGCACATAGCCCCATCGTGGTTAACGCGTCCAATGAACAGGGGTTCTCCGTCAACTGTGTTGCCTCCTTGAATGGCGCCAGGGGGGATGTCAGAACCTGATGCGAATCTCCACTCCAAGGTTATTCCATATGGGGCAGTCAAAACCTAAACAAGTTAGTCAACATTAAGAAATCATCGTTTTGATATGATATGATTTTAAACTGCATTTCTAAATAATGATTGCACTACTGGATTGAAAACTTTATTCGCTTCACAAACATATAAACAGGAAATAAAAGTTGACATGTTTCAAATGTGCAAAAGCAGGCATCCATTTCAAGATTTGCCATGAGTGAATCACGCCTTGATAATTTGTTTGCGTGAAAACTTATCCTTCACTTCTGGCAAGTCTTGAAAATGGGCTCCTCTTTTTAAACTCTCGATACGTGTCGACTGTTATATTTCCTATTATGTATTTCTGACGGTAAGAAAGTTTTTAATGAAGTCATATCTAACCGCTTCATTTTTTAGGGATTATTTATTTGATAATTAGACTAATAAATCTGGTAAACGAAATTGCTTAACGAAGTTTTTCCAAAATTGTTTCAGCTGCAAATTAAAAACAAAGGGTTAATTAAATGGATAGAGTTAAATATGTCAACTACACTTTAATATTTGAATTTTCTTTTAGTCTAATAAGAAATAAAATTTAATTATGTAAATAAAGTTTAAGAGTTAGTTCGTCATTTAAGAGGTGGGAAGTAGCTGATACTTATACAATATATTGGAAAATCAGAACCAACCTGCTGTATAATCTGACTTTCACAAGATGAACACTCATGCACGGAGTTTACGGTGAGATCGGGGGCACATCTTATGATTGCCAGATAGTAGACTGTCATTTAACGGTTAGCAAACAGCTTATAAATTTACAATGTATAAGAAAATCAGAATCAATTTGTTGCATAATCATGCTGTCACGAGATTAGCTGTCATATAGCAAGATTTGAAGTTCATCTCATGGTTGCCAGATAGTAGATTGTCAATTAACGGGTGGCAAATAGCTGATAAATGTACAATATATTGGAAAATCAGAACCAATTTGTTGAATAATCTTGGTTTTACGAGATGAGGAGTCATACAGGAAGATCTCAGTGATATTTGGAGCTCATTGCATGATTGCCAGAGAGTAAATTCCCAATTAACGGGTGGGAAGTATTATAAAATATTGGAGCATCTGTCTCTTCTATAGTCTGCGTATCATGGGGATGAGCTCTCACGCAAGTAGTTCTCGGGAAGATTTGGGGCTCATCTCATGATTGTCGGATACTAGATTCATATTTAACTTGGTGGGAAACAGCTAATAAATTTGCAAAATATTGGAAAATCTATCTCATGTATAGTATAGTTATTACGAGACAGGCTCTTCATCTATTAGTCCTCAATGAGGTTTAAGCATCGCCAAGTGATAGCTAGACAGAAGATACATTTTTATAAGAATAACTATCTGAATTTCATCATAAACAACTCTGATCATGTTTCAACATGTCACAATTAGTTTTCTCTCAGTCGTATACCTTTTTTTTTTTATCTCTAAGTGATGTTGTTCGATTGGAAAATAATACCCTTCTAAGTAATTTTAAAATAAATTTTTTACATCGTACCTATTGGAGTTATTTTGGTATTAAGTAAACATAATAATAAAAATTTAATTACCTATAAAGAATAAAAAAATGGAAAATTGCGAGGGATTTGTTCTAATAAGTCATTAATATATATATATATATATATATATATATATAAATATTTTTATTTAATAATAACATACTAGGTTAAACCCTTAAACTAATGTATTTTACTTTTAGATNTACTATATATATATATATACTATCTACCAATAAGTATTTGGTAACGTGTGATTGAAAAGAAAAAAATTTTTTATTCATAATCAATAATTGGTAGACCCTCCACGAGAAGCAATTACAGCTTGAACCTTCTGGGGCATACTTTCCACGAGTCCTTGTGTGATGGCTAGTGGTATTTTCTTCCACTCGGCTTGGAGAAGACATGTAAGTTCCTTCACCGATTTTGGACGGGTGTACACCCCTTAATTCCGCGATCCAACTCGTCCCAGATGTTCTCGATAGGGTTCAGGTCTGGGCTCTGGGCAGGCCAGTCGATTTGTTTAACCCCAATGGCACCATACCAAGCCTTGGTGACCCTCGCAACATGACGGTTGGTATTGTCCTCCTGGAAGTAACAGGGGTCCACCCCGTAAAACTGCCACAACGTAGGAAGCACATTGCCATCCGAAATAGTGCAGCAGGCATCTTGCATGGGACTAATGCGCATCTCAGGACAACAGATATTGTCATTTGTATAGGTGTCCAAATACTTATTGGTAGATAGTGCATATTCATATATACCGTCTATTACCGAAATATGTTTTTCACTTATCAGAAGTAAGAAACAAGATAAAAGATTCAAGTCAATTTAAAGTATTTATAGTATTATTATTTATTAGTCTTCATTTTTATTTAATTAAAAAATTTATTTTGAAACCATGGCTCAGTACGCTAAGGCAAAAATGACAGAGCATTTCAAAGAAATTTCATGAGCTGAGTAATAAGTTTGTATTAGGAGATGGATTCAAATAGATATGACTCATAAATTGTTAACTTTTATAAATGTAACGATTCAAATGGTTTTCGTAACAATGTACAGAAATGATAAATCATTCTACTCTTTATAAATAAAATAGTCATCTCAAGGTGGAGTGATTTTTTCGCTCTCTACATTTTTCTCATATCTGTTGTCTTAGCAACGGGGCTAATATGCTGGTGAGGTGAAAAATCAAGATATTTAAGTATAATATTAGCATAGAGAACGAAAATGGTGAGAGAGAAAAATTTTCGTAACCTTGAGATGCCTGTTCTAATTACATATACAAGAGGGAGTATTTACTTCGTATTGTTGGTATGCGTGCTCATCACCACCCCATGCAACGTAACAGGAACCATGGGCTGGAACCAATTTTCCTGGAATGTTATCTCCTTGATGGTGAGCTCTGGCTACGTAGATAACATTTCCACCATCATAACCAACTTCAATGGCATTGGGAGGGACGCTACCTCCAGATGATTGTCTCCATTCTGCAACTGGTTTGTAAGATGTTGCTAGAAAGAGAAAGAAGAAAATTAGCGAGAAAGACAGCATAATTTATGGGATAATTTTCCAATAATTTTTTTCATAAATCAAGCGTTGCGTTCCTAGTTACAAATATGACCATGTCCATAAATTAAGGAAAACTCACAATCACAAGGAAACTGGACTCTAGAGTAAAAATTTCAATTATGTAATTATTGCACACTCTTCTTCAAGAATAATAAGCAAATTATAAGAAGTCACCATGTGACGCCGGTAATACGTCGCAATGACGAAAGTGCAGACATTGCAGAACAGGTATATATATATATATATATATATTGCC